GAAATTGGATCAAGAAGTACTAGATAAGCACTAATGAATGTATCATATTTGGAATTGGAAAACAAGCATTCAACAAGTACAAAAGAATAATCAGTTCATTCAAACACCACGGTTTGGTAAATGTTTATCCTGTGATGAATTTCACCTACGTAATTCATGTGCCTTTCGTCATATCAAATGCTTTAAGTGTGGTAAAATTAGATACATAAAGTCGATTTGTCAAACTACTGTTCATTTCGCTACAAGTGATACCAAATTTTTGTTATTCAGATCCTAATTATCTAGTTGATTCTAATAATATATTATTCTTACTTACAACTCCCAGCAATTCACTTCATATTCTAAAACGATTATATTAGTCCAGTACTGCTTATCACGATTTTTATTGCCGACATTGTCAGTATCAAGTTCATTATTGCGAGTGGAAAGTTGTAGTTGTGAAATCCTGACGCTATAATTAAGCCTGTCAAAGTTTCTATTCCGAGTAATATTGGCTATAAACTTTAAATTCTCTGGTGTAGCAACTTGTTAATTAGAGATGATAAATATTCAATCCTTGATTGTGAATTTATCATCACCGATTTTAGACTGTTTATCCTGGTTCTAGAAAACTTAATAATGCTCTAGGGACTGTTTTTTTCATTGACCACTAAAGACGGTTCAAAAGAAGTACTTGACAACTTTCTCACTTCGGAATCGAAGCGATAAAAATTACACACGACTCCAAAGTCCCCTCATTTTCATTTCGGAGCATTAAATTTCAATACCTTGAAAATAAACGTCAATTTTACCACTACTGTAGTTAAGAGACCCCGAGAGGAGAGCAGATAAAGTCGTTCAGTGCAATATTACCAGTAGTATGCAAAAGAAGCTGATGACATTGCTTAGACAAAAATCTTTGTACAAGAACTCCTTTTACAAAATATACTAAAAGTTTGCTATAATTGATGAATAAATTTATGGTTCACATACCTACCAGTCACAACAAGAAAATACGATACAAGGACACAGGTGAGTTTGTTCTGATTTTTGTCGTTAACATTACAACTAATGAGTATATACTAGACCATACAGAGGCTACATCAAATACACAGTCGGAAAAACACACGATGAATCTTAAGTGTTAAGGCAGTCGCAAGAATTGTAAGATTTTATCAGAAGAGCTACAATCTCTTCTAAAACGATAACCGCATCACATACTTCCTCCCAATTAGATTTCCCTCACGAACTTTGCCCCGTGATGGACTGTCATATTTTTTTATAGTTCGCTAAATTGCTACATGCTCGAAGGTCATAATCTGCTACTATAATAACAACTTTTGTACCAATTTCGTTTGAGTTGCTTGTTCTACCAATAAATATCAAGTTACCTGCAATTCCATCTTCCTGTCCTTGCCATCGAGGTTTGGTATGTTGAGCATAATCGACTGTTGTCAATTCCGAAGAGCACCAATTGTATTAGAGATGCTCAATCATTTTTGTTCCTAAATCTGTATTATCTTAATCTTCCTATCTTGGGTAAGCGGCTTTTGCAAAACGGATACAATTTTCTCCGAAATAGGGAAACTACGATCGTAGGCAGTACTAAACACAAGGCACAACATAAGGAGAAGTATAATCTTTGGATTTTCATTTAAGCTGTGGAGGATGTGGTATTTGTACAGACTAATAAGTCCTTTGTATTTGATTCCCCATCTTGTTACGAATTCCGAATACAGTACGTTCATTTGTGTTCATCTACTTCCATGTTGTTTTAAATCGACCATAATAATACGAAATGATTTCATAATGCGTACTTTGAATTCTCGATTGTATCTTATCAACGTTTTAGATGTATTGCAATTGGTACTATTTCGCTTATTTCAAACTCAGAATTTCTAACGTTTAAAGAGCCACCCATAGATTTTATGAAGTGCAGCTTTATGATAATTAGATGTATTCAAATTATTGTGCTAACTAAGAATTCCAGGAATAGTGCAATTCAAGGCAGGTGAAACTAGATGAACACAACTGGACGTATCATATTAGCATTTCGTAATAGGAACGCAATCAAGCATAAAGGAATCATCAGTTAGGACGAATATCACAATTCTACCAAAATACATTGGGAATTTCCAGGTTGATAAGTGAATATTCTAACAGATCAACCCACAGGACGTGAGGCAAAGAAAAGATTAACTTTAAAAACTTGTTTATTACAAAACCAAATGAGCAATCAGAAGTTTTCTATGAACAGTTATTAATGCTACCAAAGAAATTCTGAAGGTATGAAGTTGGGTGCAGCCCTTATGGCAAAAAAGCTCACATTCGGACGTCTGCATGTACATGTCCGAAATACTCACAGTAGTTAATAACTAACTGTGTATTTGCTTAGGTATCTCCTACGCGGTTAGCTAATTAGTTAATCAGTCCTTCTTAAACATATAGCCTAAACTTGACTCCAAACTGACATACAACCCTCCACTTAATTTCGCACACAATAATTCGGCAAACCCCATTGTGCAGCGACGGTATGAAAATCCAAAAACGAATCACACTGAAAAAGCATGTGTGAGGAGCATGAAATTGCATGGAACTGACAGACGCAGATCGGAAGGTTATTGAACTGACAAACAATCTAACCAAGTGTGATTCACATTATACTTGGAAAATGGATGGTCAATAAAACATGCAGACGTATTCTAATGTTCATAGGAAACGTATAATGTAACTTAATAAAGTCAGAATGATGCATGAAAATACTCTTGGATAGGCCATAAAACACTTGGATTAGAACGGCACGTTCAATAGTTAGTGCTGCATCATCACATAGAATAACTTACTTATGACCCATGTGTCGGATGGTTTGTCTGACTTTTTACAGTATTTTAATGAGGAATTTATATGGGGTTTGCAAAACTTTACTACAAACACATTCTCCGAGCTTAGCTCAAATCGGTCTTTAGGTCGCAGATTTTTGGTTGAAATAAAGCGTAGATGATCAGCGGAGCGTGACTGAAGTTCAGGTACTCACTACAGAAAGACCTGTTAGAAAGTCGGCGAAACAAAGGGGAAATCTATATACAAACACCCATTTGGTAGCACATCAGGTACGAACGTAAGAGTTCATTTGTCGCGGGAAATCTGTTTACTGCTTAGTATAATCGTCTAATAAGCAACAGTAGAGCACATAAACTGTTTAGCAGGTTTCAAGCATTAAAGGTTGACTGGTACCAGTACGAGACTGAAACGGGTTAAACTACATGCTTCTAGTTTTGAACCCAAGAGTGTTTTAATCCAAAGTTAGTGTTATTGATCAGTTATCTATCGCTTTACGTAGTAAATCCAAATGCATTGCACTCACTCGCTCATCGACTCACCTTTGTTCTTCACTTTTCTGGCTCTCCTCACACGCTATTCTGCATGCTCCCCTAGTATACAAAGTAACTTCAGGCTAGATGCGAACCTCCACACAGACTATGCTGAATGTTCGATTTCATCAATAGAAGTTTATTTTGTCGTGAAGCCTCGAGTCAGCAAACCAAAACCGATATTTCCCATTTGTAAGATATTAATAGCCAGACCACATTTTTGAAAAACGAATCGAAACTCCTAAGCAATCACTTATTGCAAACGTCCGAGTCTTCACCCATGAATTAAACCAACAACAGCATGAATAAGAATCTACATAATTAACTCAAGTACTGGACTGGTTTACCGTTAACAACAAAATGCTTAATACTTTGACGTTAGCAGCATTCCTGCACAGTGAACATCAACTCTGAGATGCAGGTACACCCACCTGACGAGTCCCGAACAGGACGAAACGCGCGTCCTGGGTTCCACTGCTAGCCACTATCCATCTTTGCCTAAATCCCTTGAATAATTCTAACGATCCGAGGTCAAGTATTAGGGAACTAACGTGTACATAATGTTGGTATTTCATTTACATTATTATTATTATTATTACTCATTAATCACCGTTTATATCAATTGAGCTGACATACACATACACACACACACACACAATTCTCACTAGCAACAATAACACTTGACAATAAAAATTCAAAAAAAAAGAAATTTGATCTCTAAATTGTTGAAAGGTATCATAAAAATGAGAACTAAACAAGGAACAAAAATGAAAAGAGAACAACAAAAGAACTGAAAACAAAGTGATAAAACACTAACAAGGGAAATGATCATCAACAAATACACAAACAAACACACACACACACACATACAACCACACAAAATAAAGTCAAAATGAAATACTAAACACAAGTAAATAAGCATTACAAAAAGAAATACATTGGATTTAGCAAGAAAAACAAACGAGCATAGAAATGTATATGGGTACCATACCCATTATACAAACAGTTGAATAGATATAGATATATGTATCATGATAGAGTGAAATAACAGTTAATCAAATACTTACTCTATCATTATTTACCTTTCATGAAAGAATATAGGTCACCCATCAGATATGACAACTTGGACCGATGCATATATATATGTCTGGTCCTACGTTGTATCTGACTAACCAACTGATTGATTGATTGATCAACATTCACTATTCATCTCTGACATTATTGGTAATCCTTTCCAATTGTCTCAATACACATTGAAGTGAAGTGCAATTAATTATTATTTTTTTTGTTGTTGTTGTTGTCGAGAAAACACGAAAATGTTTGTTTTTTTTTTAGAAAAAAAAAGTTTCATATGATCACAGACAAGCATTTCCCCCCTTCCGCCTCCCCTTCACACAAAAATACCCATATAGATTTGTTAATAGTAATAATAATTAGTATTATTATTGTTAAATAACCTAGTATTATTATTATTATTATTATCTAGATCAGTTGTTAAGATATTCTGTAAAAACAAAGTCATCAAAATAAATTTTCCATGAATAAATGCAATGCTGAGAAAAATCTAGAAGAACCGAAAGAGAGATAGGGGGGAAGGGAGGTAGGGAGGAAGGTGAAAGGAGAAAACTGAAGTGAGTACGAATAATTGGTGATGATTAAGGAAGTGAGGTGAAAAAACAAACAAACTATGTAAGATATTAATCATTATAACTGTTTCATTGATACATAAGAGATTAAATGCTCTGGTAAAGGTAAACGATTTGCTTTAATTCTTAATGAATCAGCATAACCAAGTGCACGTTGTATAACTACACGACAAATATGTTTTAATGAATGTACATTACATTCTTCCCAACGTAACCATTGAGCTAATTCATCATCACCATGAATACATTCTTCAGGAATTATTCCATGTACTAATAACCAACGTGTAAAACTTGCTAAATTTACTGGATCACATCCATAATTTAATAATAGTTTTACCATAGGTATATCTAATTTAGGAAATTTAACTGCCATATGTAAAGGACCAAGACCTTCACGATCTACACGATTAACGGATGCACCAGCGTCTAATAATTTACGTGCTAATGCTAAATGTCCATGTAATACAGCAACATATAGTGGAGTTTTACCATTTTTATCAGCTGCATTAACATTAGCACCGGCTGCTAGTAGAAGATCGACAATTTCTGATCGTCCATGATAAGTAGCTACATACAGTGGAGTTTTTCGATGTGAATCCATTTGATCAACCTTTAAAGATAAATATGAGAAAATAAAAAAAAATTTCCTACTTAATAAACAAATGGGATTTTAAGTATTCTATTAGACTAAAACTATAAATTGTATAAGCGTATTGTTATGTTGTGTGATGTTTGAGTCTAATATTGGTACACAAGCTTCATATACGCAAACCCAATCGGTTACTTAAGTGGGAATTAAGCTTTATTGATTAAGGCTCCATTAAGATTAAATGTAAACTCTTTCATACATACATATGTATCTTTTTCCCTTAGCCACGTTTTCAAACAATGTCATATGTCTTGCTCCTAACAAAAAGAAGTCAAATCTTAACCAATAACACGCGCTTATCATCTGATATGTAACTAACTGGTAAAGAGTATCTTTTACACATACTAAAACGATGTCATCTCAAAACAAAATAAGAAACTAGGTGCTAATCATGAAAGGAGAATATTTTGAGTTCGGTTCTTAGTGGAATCCTGAATCTGTAATGCTGAACATTCCCATACTAAGATGAAACAGCTGTCCAGTAATCCCTAGTTTCTAACAGATTGTCTAAGGCGAGAAAAGAACAAAATAACTTAGGAGTATACAAGGCGGCCTGCTTGAGCATCTGGGCTACCTGTTCCTGCCATCTAGATATTTCGACAAGTTATGTCTATTAATCGCACAACCTATTCTGCTGCGTTTCTGAAAAGTGTACAACCTTTCGTTGTCAAAGTTACAAAAAGCTCAAAAAGAGAGAATATTGTTGCTGGCAATATACAACGAAAAGAATGTACATTATTCAGATATTCATTTACTGGACTGTTAACATCTAGCTGGCGATCACTCAGTATTTATCGCGAGGACCGACCAAGAAGAAAGAAACGGAAACTTGTTGAAATACTTTGTGCTGAGAATTCTATATTGTACCAATAATATAATATTGAATAAAGCTAATAATAATAATAATAATAATAATAATAATAATAATAATAATAATAATAATAATAATAATAATAATAATAATTTAGAAAGTACGAAATTATTTACTTCGCTATAAGCTACACTTAGTATGTAAGGCCACATAGAAGTAGGTCCAATAAGACTCGAACTTGAGTCATATTCATTGAAATGTGGACGTCTTAACCACTACTAAGCCACTACCACTCTACGAGGAAAACCGAAACAATTAAGGAGGAAGAGTATAGTATACGGAATTTGTTAACTTTTATCTTAAACACTGTTTATTGGAACTAAATACAGATGTACAGTGAAACCTTCTGTATTCAAAGATAATTATGCTCAATTAAAATGTGTTAGCATTTCATGAAGTCACTGATAATGAACCGAAACTCTACGTTGATAGGTGCAAACTACCTTATTAATGTGAGATAACTGTGATCAACTAATTGAAGACACTAAGTGTTATGACTTAAAATTCACAGATTTATTCTTTAGCTTCACTTATCCCTAAGACATGGCTCAAAATCGTTTGCAATGACGCAAGTGCATACACTCTTCGTGCTTTCTCAAATTCTAATCTTCTGAATTCTTCATGTCCCTTTCTTTTTGCTCTTTCCAAATTTATTTCGCCGGGTTATACTCTTTAAATAACATCTTCAAACCCTAATCTTTTCGATTACTGCTTATACTCTTAATATCTCTACTACTACGGAAATTGAGTCGACAACTGCATCTCTGTGCTAATGTGGTATGGCAACTCGAAATGATGTACGTACGCAGTTCTACGTTGTTACTGACTGACTGATCCCTAAGATCTCAAAAGTTGTAATATTTATTTCTACCTTTTTGTCACACAAATTTCTTCCTTCCTTTTGAACTAAATTTTCCATGTTTAGTACTTTTAAACTACCGTTGAAACCATTAAAATGTCGACTTCTTTTGCATTATATTTTGTTGATTTCATCTTCTTGTGTCCATCTACAGTTGCACCAATCACAACGTTGATTACAGCTAACTGATTTTGAAATGGTGGAGATTTGTAGCTCAGGTGGATGATTTGGATGGAGTTTTGCTCTCTGACCAAACCATCCAACTCAGAGAACAAAACTTCATCAAAAGCTAACTGGTTAATAGTAAACCTTGACGTTTAATCATAAAGAGGCCTGTACAATAAAAACAAAACAACCTTAAGAAGATTTATGATACAAAAAAAAGACCAAACACTAGTTTTAACCAACCTCTTCAAAAAGTCCTACAATCGAAAATTCATTCACAAAATTGTAATTCAGAAAAACAAAACCCATAACTCTGCCTAGAGCCCCTCTGGGGCTACTGCCGGTCCCAAGCCCGGATATAGGAGTAGGGTTGGGCATGGGGTTAGCAACCCCATCCCGTAGAAAAGTAGCTCGCTAAAAAAACGCTAACTATAAATATACCCACAAAAAACGAACAAAAGAAGCAACTAAGAAAGTGAGTTACCTGTGCACCATGACGTAATAAGGCATTGGTAATTTCCAAATAACCAAAATAAGCACTAATATATAAAGGGGATTTATTTTCTTTATTAGTAATATGTATATCAGCTGAATGACATAATAAATAATTGACAACTTCACTATGTCCACGACATGCAGCGAGATAAATTAAAGTTCGACCATATTTATCCTGAAAGTAAAAACAGAATGGAAAAATCAATGAACAATGGGTTGGATCAATATTTTTTGAGATGGTTGGAAAAGCTTGTAACTTATGAAAATGATTTTAATAGATTTGTGTTCATTGAACCAGGCGATTCAATCAAGAAGTACTGATTCATTAATCCTTTAAGAATCATTACACATAAAAATCACTAACAGTTTGCACTGTTGATATGGAATGTTGCCACTGTCTATGTCACAAATGATTGATCACTGGGTGGTGATCAATGTCATGTGTTTCAAGTCCTTATTTAGTGCAGATCGAATGCTATCGATAATGTTGCAATGTGACCACCAGTCTACGTGCCTCGACATTGCGGGAACTATATATTGAGATTAGATGGTGGTTGGAGGTAGTCGACAGGAAACCCTGGACCCGGGTTTCGTGCTACTTGGCACTCGTCAGCAAGGTGTACCTGTGATCCTGAGGAAACTGGTGCTCCCTGGCGGATTCGATCTCGTTTCACCCAGCTCCACAGTCAGAGACGTTACCACTGAGCTATCCGGGCCGCGACTGACCTCCCGTAGGACTAGGATGTGATCACAATTGATCGAATCCGCCAGGGAGCACCAGTTCCCTCAGGATTCTTTCAACACAAGATTTTCATGGTTTTCCAGTTGAACATGTGCCTACGACTGTGTGAATGAATTGATATAAGCAAAAATACATCGCAAGATTTGACAACCAATTAGTTTTTTTTAAAGACAAAAAGAAACAGATCAGCCGCTTTGTTCGATTTTATGTTCCACACGGTTGGAGTAGTTTATCTTGCAGATGGTCTATTTTTAATTTTTATGTCATTACATCTTTCAATTTGTATAAAATTAATTGAAGTGATTTTGCTGATGTGTGAACAACGCTTATTGCTAATAGTCGGAATAAACTGGTTGGTAATTTCTGTTAAGTCATTCAAGAATCAGATCAAGAGAGGGAAAACAATCAAAATAAATACAAAAATAATGACAGAAATCCTGAACTGATAACGTTGTCTAAAACGGCAATGAAAGTTACATGGTTAAACCACTTATTTATTTATTTATTTAAACAAACATTGGTACAAAGAGGCACCAAATACATATGCGCCACACTCAATCATTTGATTTGTGTAAGGGCTCGTATACTGCCCAGACGCCCAAAACAAAGTACGTGATTTCCCTAGAAAGTTACTTTCCGAGCCTTAGATACAGAAGTCTAATTCATAAGACAGTAGACAAACGTTAGAAGATGCGGTCTCATGATAACTTGTAACCAACAGTAGATTAGTGTGCCATTTGTTCCTTCAGGATTCTGGAGCCCATATGTACCATGAGTTTGGACTCAGGGCTTTCCAACTCCTCTCTAGGCGGATCTTTCATATCCACCAACCCGATTAAACCACCGGGTGTTCGCTTTTCGTCCTCTCAGTTTAGTAAACAACACCTCCTTCATGAGAAGGCAGTGATTAGGAATTCCTTGGCAGTGGCTGTATACGCATGACCATTTGAGAGCATTTTGAGAGAGATCGGATTGTCCCCACAATCGACCGTACCAAGGCATTTAGAGGTGAGTAAGTGACTGATTTGTTCGGCGTTTCATACAAATTTTTCCATTTATAAACGTGAATAAAGAAAGAACAAATATCGTATCAAAAGGAACACTGTTCGAAAAACTTTATTCTTGTAACTTCTCTGGGTAATCTGCAACCAATTGCCTCTCAACAGTTCGACGGAGATAAGTCAAAGAGGTTACGAGAATAAAATGGTTCAATCAATACTTAACTTCCTCCTGTTACGATATTTGTTTTTTGATTATTTGTTCTTTGATCCATAGTTTTCCAACTAACCATAAAAACATAAAAAGTCTTAAACTTCAACCGAAATTACAGCTCAGTTAGTCGGAACGACGTCGAAATGACAAAAACGGTTATTTTTCGTTCTGATAAGTTTCCAAACCTTTGGTGGATGTATTTAATTTTAAGCTTCAAATAACGCTAACACACGTACACACTGATACATTCTTACACACAACGTACTTGAGTATTTATTAATTCAGGATTTGAAAGACGACTTGTGGTTAGTGGCGGTGGTGCTGATCCTACCATTGACGACTGGACATTTATGTTACTATTACTATTGTTAGTAGGACATATTGATGTCGGTGCATTTAATGATGATATAATCGATGTAGAAAGAAGACATGACAAACGAGCATTGGAACCATTCAATAGATTGTTAGTTTTTGAAATTGATGCAGACGTAGTGGCCGTCGTCGTCGCCGTAGTAGTACAAATAGTTGTTGTGGTTGTCGTCACATTATTACAAGACATTATTGGATGAACACGTTCCATAAGATAACGTACCATATTTAATGAGCCAACATAGCATGCATGATGTAAAGCGGTCATACCGACTTTATCAGTGAGCGAAAGATTTGAACCAGCATTCACTAAAGCTATCGCCATATTCAAACCACTTGAACCAGCTTCTGCTGCAATCATTAAAGGTGTCATACCTAAAATTAGGATTAGTCAATGAAGAAAAACATCAAAACAGTTCCTGTTTAAATGTAACGCGTTTTCTTTTGTATGTGCGGAGGTAGAAACAACTACAAGGCAACAATAAAGACCTTGTTGCGAATATACGTCATATGCCATTCAAAAGACAAATTGTAGTTGGTCCTGCACAGCTTAACTCTAACTGGAGCCCACTGTAAACTATTTCTAATCCCAAGCTCGGATAAGGAACGAAGATTGTTGAGTGTAGGATTAGCAACCTAATCGCGTAAAAAGAACACCGTTACAGAATAATCGTCAACCAAAGAAAATGAATTAAACTCTGTTCCGAGAAAAGGATCATCTACGTAGCTTAACAGTTTTTTATTATTCTGTCTGCCGATTCGGTTAACTTGTAATTAAATCGACTATATAGGGAAGAGATTTCGTTTGCGAAGGAAAACCATTGTTGTTTTTCCCCAGCTGGCCTTGTGTTCATTCTATAGGGTATGAAAAGCCTACAACACGGAGGGTTAAATTTATACAAAAGAATTCCCCTTTGCTACGTTTAGATTAACTAAGTTGACAGAATGGGGAAGGTCTAATCTAAGGAGACTCCCATGAACATATGCTTAAGGAAGTCCGATCCAAATTTTCCAAGTTAAAAATCTGAATAATTCGAGGATAACAATCTTAGCAAAATAATATGAATTCTTACAGATAACTGTTATCATACAGGTAGTATTCAGCTACAGTTTACTCCTTATCAGTACAGAGATTTATACCGATTGTTTATAATTATTATATGACTTATTTTGAGAGGAAATTTCCAAAAGTCGAGACCGACGGAGTCCAAACGTGTATAGTGTGATGACAGTGGTTAGGTAACATCGCGAATTGATAATATAAACCATTGGTTTCTGGATCAGTAGTTTGGAGATAAGACTCTCGCCACGAGATTTTAGTGGCCCTGATTACGATCTCCAGTGACGTCGTGGATGTGTACTACGGAAGAACCCCATAGCAGGGCGGAACACCAATTTGGTGTCTCTTAGTTTTTATTGGTTGTCTTCATTATGATAATCCTTAATTTTATATTCTGAACAAAATCTACATGTCCGGTTAAACAGTTCTAATCAAAGCCCATTCTGCAGCTTATTGGACAGAAGCTATCGAAGTTCCAGTATATAGCCCACACTATGTGTCCTTTCAAAATAAATCAACCCACATAACTCTGTTACAACTATTATTCTCTTTTAGTAAAACATCTCAATGGACTTGATTATGAATAACTCTCGACTAATTAGGATTACCCCTCAGATAAACATACAACAGTCGTGATAGGGGTTATCTAGTAGTTCATACTGTAACACTTTCATTAGGAAAATGGTAGACTGTTCTATATTTTTTTCGGAGGACAGGAGTTAACAATGATTTCTTGGTTTTAATCTAGACTAATAATGTTGAATATATGCTTCTTCTAAGATAACACTTTCACCTATTCAATGATAGACACTTCTCAATAAGACTACAAAACAGAATTTATAAACGGTTAGGATTAATACTTATTGATAGGGTCATTAGAAAAACAACACACAACGGCAAACGAAAAGAGAGATGTACAATCACAAAACATAGTTATTTACCAATCTTATCTGGTCGATCTATATCTAAACGTGGTCGTATTGTACCAGTATTCGACTGCTGACCATTTTTAAGATTGAGTGGGAGTTGTGTTGTTTGCGATGTTGGATTATTAACATTATTACTATTATTATTATTATTATTATTACTAGTATTGATGAGTGTAGTTTTACAAAGTATACGTTGAACTCGATCACAACTTTGCCACCAACGAGCCACATCTACAAATACAAAAGTGTAGAGAAAAAATAAACAAAACCTACCAGTAAGAATTAAATTAACCTTTAAAGAAAAAAAACACAATTAATATCAACACTATTTGACGATTGATCGCGTGGATTCCAAATAAATTGTCTGCGAATACCGAGATGGCTTAGTCCAACAATCGGTGACTTCGGGGGCTAATGTCATGTCTCGGTTTATCCATCCCTAGTTTTTTTCTTCCGACCTACTACTACACCAGCTAACATCGTTCTTCGAGGAAGACAATGGTTGGACATACGTATTACACATCACAAATGCCTGAGACCCCAGATGTCTTGGTATGGTCGAGGGTGGGGAGATTCCACCTCTCCTTTCCAAATGCTCTCACGTGACCACCCATATATAACCACTGTCAAGGAAGTCCTACTCACTGCTTTGTCGCAGAAGAGATGTTACTTATGTCATCGAGAGGATAAAAAGACAATGTTCGGTGCTTAAACCAAGTTGGTGTATACGGAAGATCAACCTAGGGAAGTCGGAAAACCTTAATTTCAAACCAATGGTACATATGGGCTCCAGATTCCCGTGGGAACAAATGACACATGAACTTACTATTGGTAACTAGTTATCATGAGGCCACATCTCCCAACATCGCTTCACTGTACTGTGGACTAAAACTCTAGGTCAAACGCTCGGGGGAGTGGCGCCATAAGAAAACCATTTGCTTCGGTTTGGGTGTCCTGGAAGTATCCTAATCCTTATAAAAAATTTCGTAGTATATACATATTTTGGTGAATCCTTGAACTAATTTTTATGTATTTCAATGAATAAATAAGTCTGTATGCTAGATCCTACTATCCATATGATCAATTGACTTTCATAGTGAATCAATTCATCAAACAAAGAAAACTACAATATGATCATTCCAAAAACAATCATCTTACCACTTGGATTGCCTACACTATGACATCGTTGACAATTTTCTGGTTTACGTACAATAGTATGTGTTAAATTAGAACTACCACTATAAGTTGATTTAACAATACATTGTGAATCACTGCCATCCGTAAAACCATTTGATTCAGAATTTAAATAGATGTGATTTTTTCCACTTAATCTTAGAATACATGAACGTATATTCATTCTATTTGTATCACATTCTAATTCCGTATCATGATCATCTAAAACTTTCATTGGTTTCATTCGTAATAATTGTGATGATAAAATATGACGATCTATATTCAATGGTTTTGAATGATTTGTATTCAATATTGAGTGTAGATTCACTGAAGCTGCAGATGAAGCACGTGGTGGTACAATACAATCATTTGGAATGATACCACGAAAAATTGTACTTGTTGCTGAAGCCAGTGTAAATCGAGATGATGCAGAATTTGATGATTTTGAAGATGGTGTTCGAAGAGCTGACGTTATAACACGACATTGTCCATCATTTGATTGAGTTTCTAATGTAGTTGCAGTTGTCGTTGTTGCCACTGTACTAGTAGTAGTGTTGTTTTTTCGATGTTGTTCACGAAATTGTTGATCTGCTCGTATAAGAGCAATTAAAATTAATTCTCTACGATCTTTGACGGCGGTTAATAAAGGTGTATCCAAATCACGACTACATATATTGACATCAGTTGTTTCATGCTTCCAAATCAAAAGGATATTATAAAGAAACATATAATTAATCACAGAACTCATTTATAAGTTTGAAATTAGAAAACAATTACAGTAATTGAAAAAAACTATTGAAATAAATGAGGCTTCATGAAGAAATTTCGTTGAATACTTTACTGATGGTAATATAACTCATTTACACCAAGTAGGTCCCCCAACTCTAGCTGAAATTCAAAAGGCTATAGTTAATCTGAAACGAGGAAGGGCAGCTGGTCCAGATGGATTGACTCCAGAGGTCTTTAAGGATGGTGGTCCAATTTTAGCGATTAGGTTGACTAATATTTTAGCTAAGATCTGGGAGTTAGACGTTATCCCATCTGACTGGTCACAATCACTTATCGTCCCAATATATAAGAGACGGTTAAAATCATCCTGTGACAACCATAGAGGGATTAGTTTAACTAATATAGTATCGAAAATACTAGCCTCGATAATTATCAGACGCCTAACTAAGACTCGTGAACTGCAAACACAAGAGAATCAAGCTGGCTTCAGACCTGGTCGTGGCTGCATCGACCACATATTCACCATTCATCAGGTTCTAGAACACAAGCGAACTACTGGGTTGGGATCCGCGCGACTATCGTAACCAATGGCTGGAGACTCTTGGTGACATTACTCAGAATCGATCACAATGGCGTCGGTGTATACACTCTCTGTCTTCCCTTAAACTAAGAGATAAAAATCGCTCTACATCTTTCTTTCTAACAATTAATTCTTTCTTCCTATACTATATCCTTACATGCAATTTTCCTTTTATATATTGCCACCTCTGAATTAACTACTTTTATGAATCCGGTGTTCATCTTGTTCTGTTAATGAGGTATAGCAACTTGAACCGATGCATATATGTGCCTTGTCCTACGTTATAGCTGACTGACTGACTCACGTACACTAAAATAAACATTTCGAAGTACAAACCTGTGACTTGCTGACTCAAAGTTTTATACGCTTTATTCATTATGTCATAATTTCACTGAATGTAACGAACACGAGTACATAAAGTAGGTAACCATAAGTTACAACATATTCTCGTATAAAAATAAATCTTGTTCTAAATGTAACAGGAAAATTCCAGTTAATAAATAATACATCATTTACGCAAATGTATACAGTTTCTGACGAAAACAAAAGCAAAATAGCCATAAAATTGAGAAGAATAATGTATCAATAGTATATTACCTTTAATCTACTACATAAGCGAAAGGATAGTAATTTCACTGCTATTTCACAAGACATCGTAAGAAAGTAAGCTACAACTTAGGATCAGGCACATATTTACATCAGTCCAAGTTACCATACCTCATTAGCACAACAAGATGAACATCGAAGTCATAGAAGTAGTTAATTCAAAAGTGGTAATACATAAAAGAAAGATTACATACAAGGAAATAATACATGAATAAAAAAGTAGTTGGTAGAAAGAAAGATATAAAGCGATTTCAATCTCATAGTTTGAGGGAAGACAAAGAGTGTATACACCTACGCCATTGTGATCGACTCTGGGTCATGTCACCAAGAGTCTATAACCATTGATTACGATAGTCACGCGGACTCCAACCAAGTAGTTCGCATCTACCAACATAGCTCATACCAGAAGTCAGTGGCTTCAAGCACTGATGCTACGTTTTGGTTTGGCCGCCCCTAACTTTCTTCTAACCGTCTCCAACACTAGTCAGGATTGAGCGTCGTGGTAATCGGTGTTCAGGCATTGGTAACACGTGGCCCAACCATCTCAGTCGATGAAAATTCACAGTGTCATTAACTGATTTACCATCATTCCACATCATCATCACTCCACAAGACGAAACTAGTTAAAATGACAGGAGACAAGTTTATCTTTCTGAGGAACGTAAAATTTAATAAAATCGAGTAGAGGCCAAACTAGACGAATGTGTTATGTTCCACTGTTTGATATTCCTTAGAAATTTTAGTTTAATCGATTTTTATCAAGTCAAAACAAGAATTGAGAGTGAAATATATGCATGTATAAGTTACATAAACATCTAGTATTTTCTTAATTCGTCCATTCGTTCTAACTGGTTGAAAATGGAATAATCAGAGTAAAACGATTTGAGCCAGGTAAGACCATGTAGTAAATAGGACTCTATTCCAGAAACAAACTCTTAGTCTATATATCTTAATCGACACTGAGCACTGAGCTCATTTACATAAAACAACAATAGTTGTTTAAAATACTGGATGTAGTCAATCTCATCTCATTATACTGAAATACAGATCTTTACTACCAGTCCAAGTATGAACTATTTGCTAAAAAGCAAACAAAGACGCTGAGACCATTAACACTCAATAAAATTCGCTACGATTATACAGCAGATCATTTATTTTTTAAAGTTCGTAAACCTTATGATGTTTAGAAATATAAACAGAACTTTAAAACTGAAACATTTACTTCACGAAACTCAGCATAATCAAGAGCATATTCCTGAGATACACAGCTGCATCATTGCGAAAAATAGCTTACATCATATAACGGACTGGCTATACAACACTAAAAAACCAAGAAGCATTGAACAGCTTCCTGATAAGTACTCACGACCATGCTACGGATGACTAGCATTTATAATCAGTTTATTCGTTACTACCACCAATTAAGTATTGGTAATACTTGTTTCACTCTCACAATGGTTTCAGCCTCTCATTAGAACTTTGAAATGTAAATTCTCGCCAAGAGACGAACAACCCGTTACAAACTTTTCCTTCTAATAGTAATAGAATATTTGTCTATAAAAAATCCAGTACAGTAGGAGGAAAATACCATCGGAATGTAATGCTATAAACTTACTGCAACTAAAACTTCAACGATTTCAACTGATGCTCGATGTAACGGTGCAAGACCATCATCATCCAATGTATTTGGATTCACATGATATTTCAATAGAATTTTCGCAGTATCAACATAACGTTGAGCAGTTTGATGTGCCAGCAAATGTAAACAAGACTGTCTCCGTTCCGTAAGCGCTGATACAGATGCACCGGATCGTATGAGCAGTTCAGCAATATCTGCACGGCCATACAAACTTGCCTTTAAGGAAACAATTTGCGATATTCGAATGAAGAAACGATCATTGAAGTAAACAGTTTTTTAATATAAAAAATGAGACACAATGAAGCTTTCTTAGTGTGACTTATTAATCCAGCATAGGTTTTATATGCCCGGGATTTTGAGACACAATATTTTGTATTCGGTGGTTAACAATCCTATTCGGTCCTTTATATCAAGCTAAGTGAACGAGTAATCAAACACAGGATCAAGTGATTGATAATTGAGTGTTTTAATCATTAAGTCAATGTAAACTGAAAATCTTGGCATCTATTTTGCCTACGGATATACACTGTATCTAACCTATATACACCTAATTTAATATTACACAAAAGCTTCGGTTGGTACAGATCTATCACACTTGAAGACCAGATTCACCAATAGACAATCAACTACTGCATATAACATGGCACTACATGATATCATTCAATGACTGAGTTAACTAATAGCGAAGTCTCAGACTATGGTGTTGAACAATTGGAGATTGAATGTTTCTCCAAAGTTGTAGAATACCAGCTAGCATTCGAATACGTACTTTAACGTCCCGATTAATTACTTCGAAAAGCTTCTATTACTTTTCCCGCTCGATTAAGTTGCGTGATCATGGAAATAATCCTTAGGTAAGTTAACGAAAGTAGCCGTGTATATTGCCTGAAATTAAGACCAATATACATTTCTAGAGCCATTAAAATTTTTGTAGAGCCAGCAGACCATGTACATCTCGTCATAATGCAAATATGGAATTGGAAAATTCAACTCTCTTACTTGATGAAGTGGGTATCGAGGAGCATCGGCAACATAAATATCTGCACCTGCTTTAATGAGTATTTTGACCATTTGTAAATAACCTAGTTCAACCGCCAAATTGAGTGGACAAACTCCATCGATGACCATACTTGGATCTACACCATTAGGATAGCTGAAGAGATACTGAAGAGTACCAACATTATTGCTTCTTATAGCTCCACGTAGAAGCCAAGGGATCTGGGACTTGCTTATACGAGGCTTGTGACGCTTTTTAGAATACCTTGCGCCCATTAAAACTGAAAAAAGCACGAAAGTCTAAGAGATGATAAAATTCATTAAACCCAGTAAATTGAAATGAATAGGGATTACTGAATTGGTGATCAGACTATAAGTTATGGACGAACGAAAGAAATTAAAGGGTTCAAGCCTTGGATTTTGTGGCGAAATTCACTCATCCATATCGTTAAATAGAATTGTGGCATAATAGCTTATGTTGGTTCATGATAAGAACCCTCACCTTAGTTTCCAACCTTAAGTTCTGACTCAAAATCCTGATATTTATTATTTAAACACAAATACTGGTAATAAAATATATATGTGCCATACTCCATTATTCGATTTTCGTCATCTCAATTTCGTAAACAACACTCTCTTCGCGAGAAGGCAGTGAGTAGGAACTCTTTGACTGTTTATATACGCGTAGTCACGTGAAAGCATTTCTACAGGAGATGACTTTCCCCACCCTCGACCGTACCAGGGCATTTGGGGCGACCTTGATGTGGTGGTCGGAATTGCCTATCATGATGAGTCAATCGAGTTATACTGGCTGGAACAATCGTTCCTATAGGTCCTAGCATGAAGGAAAAACGAATTCAATGTTTGTTTCTTCCGTACACGTTTAAAATATTTTATTATTCTGCACTTACTTTTTCATCTAATTCTTCTCTGTGTATGTTTATTTTTTTCTAAGAGACGTGATGACTCACATCAGCGCATTTCTCAGCTAACTTCTAGTTTTTCTTGTGTACTTGCAACAGAATTCCATTGTTGTTGTTTTCTGGCTAACAGCAATTACTCGTTATGAGGTCAATAATTTTATTAGTCATCTCCATATATATATATATATATATATATATATATGACTGAAGAATATTTTTGCTGATAATGATCAGAATTATTCAGAGTTATATAAGTTTCAATAGGTTTTTTTAACCTAATTGAGTCACTAACCACCGCATTATAGTTACTAGTTGTGAATTGTTTCATTTTGCTTTATTACGAGAGTTCAGTTTGATTAATGTTAGTGCTTAGTTTTGTTTTAAATAGAGTACTCATAGTTCAATTTAGTGGCTTGACAAGGCTTCTGATCCTATTTTACCAACTTCGATATAACTGACTAAACTGGTCAGTTGGTAGTTAATGAAATTATAATGCAATTTTTTTCCAATTGTCTAACCTAACTTACACCAATTCACCCAAAATATATCTATCACTGAATCTGTTACGTCAGTAGTTACAGAACCACCAATTTTATTGATGATTTTATTTCTTCTGTGACTTTCCCTTCACGGTTTACTATACAATACATTTTGCATTATGCGTATTATTTTATACTACCGTTCTCAGTGATGACTTTTAAAATATTAACTTCACTGCATTTGTCATCACAAATACTAGAGGCTCTTTCAACCATTCTTGCTACCTTGACGTTGTGGTTGGGATTGCCTATTGTTATGAACTAATCAAGCTATACTGGCTGAAACAATCATTCCTCAAGGTCCTACCCTGCCAGACAAGTCGGTTGAAGAACGGTAAGACTAAAAGCAGTAAGCCCAAGATCCGAGGGCGAAGTCGTACTGCTGACTATACAGAGGTGTGACGGCAGTAAGGTGTCTCCTTTAGAAAGCCAGCACAACAGAGATATTGCCTTCCCACAAGGGGAGGGTGGAGTTGGAAAAGGTAGACCCTAAAAATGCACATTTGAACAAGTACGGAACCAACACAAAAATTACCCACAGAAAGGTCGTTTGTGACAGGCCTCAAGTAGTTGTCACTTGGGCACTGTGGTCACGCTCGCAGGTCACTAAGACCAGACCTAACCCAATTTCCTTCTCAAGCACCTCTAGAAGGACCCTCCCATGGTGTGGGCAGCCGGAAAGTGACAACCACCCTCTAACAGCAGTCGAGACCACTGTATTCATAATCAGCTTCATATCAATAAGGTTGTGAAGGCATGAGTAAAGCGCGTATAATAACAAGGTTAGATTAGTGTATGAGAGTGCAATAAGCAGTTCACTTAGAAGTACAACCAGAATATTTTTTAGTCAAAGAAGTTACGTTCATTTTTACGGAATGTCAATCCATATTTCACATACTAATTTTGCGACCCACTTTTGACACTAGTAATAAAGCTTTCCGCCTCAAGGTCACTTTAGCTTTGATTTAAGATCTTCCATAAATCATAGCTTCACCGAGTCTGTTAGAACGTAATACACGACACAAATGTAAAAAGAGACACTACATATTGTCACGGCGGGACGGATAGCCACAGTATTACAGATCACTTGGTGGATCATAAAATGAGTACAGGTTATATGGGTTCGGTTTGTACAGAACAGAACGGAGTAAAGCGGTCTACCCTATAACTAGGTCACCTGGAGGGTAACCGTTTTCCTGGCTTAAGTTTAGTAAATCAACAATTAATTCTCAATTCAGAGGCACTTTGACGGTTTCGGTAGATCAAGAGGATCATAATGGCTCTAAAGCGTAATGTCACTACATTATGACGACAAATTTGAATATGAAGCCTGTAATATTTTGACATTCAGTTTTCATTTGGAAGGATTACAACGCTATCCTGTGGAGTAATATACCTGACTAGTACACTTGGATGACTAAAATACTAACTAAAACTAGTTTGATGCACAGTTGTTGTGCACAATAGTTAGGGTTATTGTTAACAAAAGTGTGCTTATCCGAACCGTCTTCAGATCATACGTTCTTAAAGACTAACATACAAAAATCGCAAGATTTACGGAACCAATAGATAGGTGGTTTATCAATTATTAGACTGTACGGAAAGCGACTGAAATGGGCCGCAAAATCCGGTTGACCAAATTGTATTGTAGTATGAAAAATAGATAATTTGAGCAATTGAACATGGTTCTGCACTTAGTAGAGTGCGATTTGCTCGAAGTGTTCAAGACAATAACTTTGTTACCATAAGCCTGCTCCACTTAAAACGAAACGTGGATAGCTTTTCAAAAATAGAAAAATATGATTTTAAACCATAGGACGTACGGGATAGTCAGCAGGCTATCACGCAAGAGATAACTTGTAATGAGTGTAGAACATATAGAACGAACAGATAAAATCAAGCGAAATTCGTAAATTATACTTACGCCCAGAAACTTAGAAGTCAACTTAGATTATAACCATACTCCAGACATTGTAACGCAGTTGTCAAACTCACTGCGAACAATGCTGTCCATTCAATATTAGAAAATTCGATAAGAACAGAAAAACCACGTACACACCATAAATACTACAGACTCAATCTCACCTTGAATTCACTGACGTATCACTCTGACGTTACGTGTTCTGGTGGGCAATTTCAGAGATGTATGACTACTTTAAATAAATATAAATCCAGATAAAAATGATATGATTTCGGTTCTGAATACTTTGAGCCCACAGTTGAACCTATAAAATTACGCCGGACTTCAGTCTAGCACTAATTTCATCCTAAACGTTATCTTATAACTAAAGGGTTGTCAGATACCAATTTTCTGTGGTATGAGTTATTGTTACTCACTTCTAAACGCTGTAATCTTGTTACTGGAAGCTTGCTTAGCTCAGTGATATTGCCCAGTGGGGGCAGTGTAAAAGTAAAATTGAAATATTAGAGGCTTATAATCCTCAAATGGTACATGAATTTATTTGCTCCAGCGTCCTTAGGGTTACTAGAACCATCAACTATCACCACAAGACTCAAAATACTCGTAGATATGGGCATGTAAATGGGAATAATAGTTTGTGGAACCAGAAAACCCAACAGTGTAAGGATGTAGGTATTGCTAGACATGTGGAGTGTGAATCAATAAGTATAGCAGAGCCTTGTCCCTTGTATTTTATTTCGGTAACCTCCGGAGCGCGACAGTCTCACTCGATTTGGTATCAAACTAACGTCATGTTGATTCTGGTGGGAAAGTAGTGTAGTGGTATTGGTTCCTAACTACATGATCTTTGAAGTCGATTGTGTAACTACTGAAAGGATTTACATTCAACATGTTATACTTAGAAAAGGTCGAAAAATGGTGGATGCAGGAACAGTCGTTAGGTATGCCATGGTTCAGCCTTGCAGGCGTGATCACTCTGTGTAACTCACCCCTACTCACATAAATGCACTATTCTGTCCCAAGACTAAATGTGTTTTTCAGAAGTGCTCGTAAGCATTGCTGATCGTCACTATAGGACGAATTAGTATAGACAATTATTTGACTTACACCTAAGATCTCGGAGATTAGGCAGTCACATCATGACGAATCTATGATTTCGGGATTAGGTTTATTATAATAGGAGCAATTATAAATGTAATAAAACCGGTTTAGATCATAGTTCTACATGGTAATCAAGATGTGAAGAGATAATCCATGGACAAATATGCCCTCGTTTCATCTCTTCTTGAAGCAATCTATTGAAGAAGTTGTGGTGCTTCTATGTGGGGAGAATATCGAATAGGACAACTTATTATACAACAGCGTAAGACTTTGAGATAACAATACTTCCTGAGCTGAGTAGAACTATTTAGTATGTCTTATCTGAAAGTTCCTTGTCCTCACATGACATTGAGGGAAAAGTACCAACTGGATGAGTCAATCTTCTCTGTTTCACATCAAGTTCACCAGCATCAACAGATGTCTCTGGAGTATCTGTGAATTCAAGTATCTGACTTAATAAACATAAGGTAAACTTTAGGGAAAATTTCACTCGCATTCATAAGCCTGGTGTAGCGGTAAATAAATCCCCAAAATAAATAGCACTAAGTTTTCGACATTGGATGCTGACCATATGTTTTAGTGGACTCACCTAGCTGAAGGCGCTCGATCAGTCATCCGCACCAGATCACGTGTGGTAACGCCGTGCTCAACATCAACCGCAATCGCTAGCCAGATTAGATCAGAGAATTCCGATATATTGGTCATCGCCAAATATACTCTTCCGATCTCCTCGACTCTGTCTTTTGATTTCTCTGGGCGGGAACGAAATATATTAGAAGGTGTTACTGGTAGAAGCGTTGTCAAACACTGAATACCTGTGACATCATCACTGGTTTTCATCACCATTGATTATTCTGGAGGTAACGCATGCTGACCTGAATCGTCAAGCGCCCCTTCTATTCCTATTTTGGAAAATCAATGAAAGATCAACTTTATTCTAGGCTTCTGACTAGTATTTAGAATCTAAAGGACGTGGAAGTGGTTTTACATCTAACTCGTGGTAGAAGTTTACCCACTGTCTTAAAATAATTAAGTACATGTGAGGAGTTATGGCCTGCTTTGATATCAGTACTGGTCCAACAAAAGACCTTATCCTAAAATTCCATATCTATAAGATCTTATGTGCAAGTCACATCATTGTCTACCCTGATTCATTGCTTTGTAACAATCATCAATATGTGAGAAACACACTTAGATGAGAGATAGAACAGTATGTTTAATATGGATGAAAATAATGTTACATAAAACCATGCCTGCAAGGCCAAGTGATACCATTCAATCAACTCCAATTATTTCAATTCATTCCCCCCTCCATCTTCATCGCTGGATTTTTCCTCACGTTAAATGTCTAATATCTATTTCTGACATTGTCTCGTATTAGGTTCCAATGCCACTACACATGCATTCACGACTCAATGACCTCCTGTGTCTGAGTTCCTGTCTTCCTAACGCACACTGATAAATATCAGTATGAGTTATGAAGATTGTTCAGTTTTGGTTGAGTTCATGAATCGTTTGATTTTGGACCACCATTGAAAACATGGAATCACTCAACGGCCGTTTCATCCTAGTATGGGACTCCTCACCAGTGCATATCCAGGATCCCGCTTGCGAGATTCAAACCCAGGACCTTAGATTTCACGCTCGGACGCTTAACCTCTAGACAACTGAACCGTCATCTAACGGTGTGTGATAGCTTAAAGTATTTGAACTACAGTACAAACTATGAATCCTGAAAATAGCGCAATATGAACAAGAAGAACTATGTGGTCACGAACGAACGTATTGTATTTGGAATTCAAAATCAAGCGGTCATAAAGTTCAATAGAATCATTAATTCATACAAAAACCACACGGCGGTAATATCTAACTTCAATTGATTCACGAAATTGCACGACCTTCTTCCATTGTCTGCGGTTGATACCTGCCTCTATCTGAGATGGGTTCGACTCCTGCGAGCGGGATCGTGGATGCGCACTGCTGAGGAGCAACATGCTAATGAAAAGTGGCTATCCAGCGATTCCAGGCTTTCGACGGCGATGTAATATCAGTCGATTCATGGTCAAAATTTTGTCCTTTCAACCAAATTACAGAGACAAACTTATTGCAATCTTTAAATGTTTGCATGATCAAGAGTCTAGAAGGAAACGCATTAAATAAAGGATTGTAATGGGAATAGAATTTCTAGGTAAGAAACTAGTCAAATTAAGTAAACCGAATTGATATAACGAATATATCAAAATTCAGCTAAAGGAGTGACTTCTACATTGATAAATATAATAAGTGAAACTCCTTACGTTTTTCCAGCATCACTGATCCAGACGCTACTTGATCCGTACCTCTACGTATGGGAGATATTGAAGCAGTGTGTTGTAAGTGGTATTCATATGACTCAGCTCTTTATGAACCGCCAATGTGTCAAAACTCTCCTACAACTAAAGCTCCTATGTTTGTGCTTTAACCTCGTGCCATAATTCAATACGGATGTTAGGGTTCCAACGCAGTTTATAAAAATGTTTGCCTTGAAATCCAGATATCTTTTACATTTATCAATACAATAACTAAAGCTGGTTTGTTTACTACAACTCGTTAGGCTACACAATGATCAATGCTCATAATATATTCAACTGGATTCGGAAATATGTATATTATGAGGATTGATTGTGATCTACGATATTTGATAATAACAGTTGTTAAATACTTGTATCTTAATTGTTTGATTCATTTCATATTGCATGAAAGTTACACCATGTATGGAGTTTCGAATTTGACTCACCTCACCCTGATGGGCTTTCTATCCTACTTACCTAGTATTCGTAAATGGCAAAGTAATATCACATACTAGATGGAACACACTAGAGAAGTGAAGAGTATGGATACCCTACCTCATGAACTGATATATATCGTCGATTGATCAGTACATGTTGGCCATCCTTAACCCTGACAAAACCCGGCCAACAACTTGATATCTGTTATTCAAACTTACAATTTAGCTATGGTCTGATTTGATGAGTGATTTAGCCAGAGTTCAGTGATACATTTCGGAACCTTCACGCTCTTTGCACTGATTGTAAATGAGACACTGAAATAAAATGTTCGTTGGTTTTCTGAAGATAATCTTAGTATTAGAGCGATAGTGGCATGAGGAACAAACATTAACCAGTTAGTATTTAACAGTTGTTTCACTATAGGTTGTGGACCTACGGTCATAACGATCCATTGACTGTACTGATTGATCTTGTGTTTATTTGAACAATCGATTGGAGCGGGAAATATGAACTACAGGATAGCTACCTAGTATTTTTAAGGTATCGTGATCTCTACAAGTCTTGACTATGATGAATTGGATTACATACGTTATCATGCTTTTTATTGAATTTTGGACTGATACTAATCCAAGATCACCTCTTAGACTACTACCAGTCCCAAGTGAGGATAAAGCAAGAAGATTAAGCATGAGGTAAGCGACCCCATCCCGTTAAAAAGTAACTCGCAAAAAAACGCCGACGTGAAAAAATAATTCACACCATTTGAATTCGGCCCTGGGATATAGAAGTTCTGAAACATCTGGAACTCAAAACTACTATTCGCCATCCAACACCAAGGGCAGAATTTTCGATACGAATCTCAAAACCGTTCCGCTGCATAGATCTGAAACGTGGGAAACTACGAAATCCATCATCCAGAAGATAAAAGCGTTTATGAACAGCCGCCTAAGTAGAATACTTCGAATCCGTTGGCTAGACATTATCAACAACAACCTGCTATGAGAGAGAACAAAACAGATTCCAGTGGAGGAAGAAACCAGGGAGAAGCACTGGAGGTTGATAGGACACACATAAAGGAAAGCACTCAACTGTGTCACAAGGCAATCTCTCATCACCTGGAATCCTGAAGGCCGAAGGAGGAGACGAAGATAAAAGAATACATTACGCTAAGAAATGGAAACAAACGTGAGGAGAATGATCAACAATTGGATAAAACTAAAAATG